TGATTAAATCCTATGTATGTGCAGTTTGTCCTTCCAACAATTCAGCCAGGATTTATAATGCATGTTGACCTCCCACCTGTGATTGGTCGTTGTCTTACTTCTTCTTGGTCACTTGGAGGATGTATCTTGCTTGGCAGAGTAGTCTTATGTTGACTTCAATTCAATAGCTCTACTAGTGATTTCATGTCAGCAGTGAGAGGTATAGATCTCAGTTCAATATGGCTAGGTTTGAGTTGTTCTTCGTCTGCCTACATTTCTAATGGTTCTCTTGACTGTCTGGACATGTCTTTGTATAAACGCCTGACCCCTTATTAATGTGGCAATTATGATGTTGAAGCCACATTGTTCAGCCAATTCTTTAAGTTCTCTGGTGGTGAACAGAGTTCCATAATTACATATTGTCTTTCAGGAATCCATTTCAGAAATCCATTCTCGGTGAACAGAGCTTGTACTGCTCTGGTATCTTTCCCCTTTAAGATAAAAAGTAACTTTGAGTAGTTGTACCAGTACGTGTGAAAATCAGATTTCGCATTTTGCCAGGGTCTGGGTGGTGCTTAGTGGCTTTCATTCCTTTTTTCTATTGTGAATTTCCGTACCTCTGGCTTGAATGCTACACATTCACTTTACACCACAACAGTGAAATGCATCCAGTCTTTCCACATTTAGAGTGTGGTTTGCATTGCAATTAGACAATTCTTTTAATGCCTGTCTAGATGTTTGTCCAGTATATGACTGATTTGGCCCTGAGTTTACCTCTCTTCACTCCCATGTGGCCTTCGTGTATCTTTTGAAGAAGTTTTTCCCATGTTGCTAACTGAAAATCATCTTCTGGTGAGGTGCCATCTCTGATAGGCCTGCCATATTGCTGGCTGTGTTTGCTGTATGCTATAAGGCTATGACTGAATCACTCGTAGAAAGAGCATCTGCATTTCTTTGTTTGATCTCATCTCTAACTTGATTCAGTATTGATGATGTTATGTTCACGAGGTGATGGATCTTTGTACCTAGTTTCTTGAAAAAAACTCATGTTTCTTTTGTGGCGACACTGAGATAAGGCATCAGCTGGTACTATTTCCCTTCCTGGCTTATATTTCTGAGTGAAAACATAGATCTGAAGCCTCAAGAGTAACTTTTACAGTCTGCAGGGCTCAACACAGATTATTTTTTAGAACTGCTCCAATGGATGATAATTAGTCTTTATGCTCTTTCTCCCATGGAGATATGTACGGAATTTCTCACATCCTCACATGACTGCCAAAAGCTCTTTCTCTATGTTGGTGCATCTGATCTTAGCTGATGACAGTTTTATTTTTCTGTCATAGTATTCTCGACTTGTCTCCTCGGCTCTGAGTTTGTTAAAACTTCTTTCCTGTGAATCTGACCACTGAACTCATCACCTTCTTTCACCAGCTCTCAAAGGTCTGTTATAGAGTCATAGAGTACGGAAACAGACCTTTCGGTCCAACCATAATCCCAACCTAAATGAGTCCTACCTGCCTGTGCATGGTCTTTATCCCTCCTTATTCATGTAGTTATCCAAATGACTTTCAAACGTTGTAATTGTAAATGCATGTACCACTTCCTCTGGAAGTCCATTCCACACACAAATCACTCGCTGTGTAAAAATGTTGCCCTTAATGTCCTTTTTCAATCTTTCTCCCCTCACCTTAAAAATATGTCCCCGATAGTGAAATCCCCCACTGTAGGGAAAAGACACCTGCCATTCATCTTAACTATACCCGTCATGATTTTATAATCTATCAGGTCATCCCTCAACTTCCTATGGGCCAGTGGAAAAAGTCCCAGCCTTTCCAGCTTCTTCCTATAACTCAAACCTTCCATTCCTGGCAACATCCCGGTAAATCTTTTCTGAACCCTCTCCAGCTTGATAATATCCTTCCTGTAACAGTGCAACTAGCACTGGATAGAGTACTCCAGAAGAGGCCTCACCAACATCCTGTACGACTTCAACATGAGTTCCCAACTCCTATATTCAAAGGTCTGAGCAATGAAGGCAAGTGCGCTAAACACCTTCTTAACCACTCTGTCTACATGTGATGCAAACTTCAAAGAATTATGTATCTGAACTCCTAAGTCTCTCTGTTCTTCAACACTACCCAAGGCCCTACTTTTAATTGTATAAGTCTTGCACTTGTCTTGTTTTACCAAAATGCAACACCTTGCATTTATCCAAATTAAAGTTCTAACTGCCACTCCTCAGCCCGTTGACCCAGTCGATCATGATTTCTTTTTAATCTTAGATAATATGCTTCATTCACTATCCACTATAACACCAATTTTGGTGTCATCCGCAAACTTACTAACCAGGCTTTCTATATCCTTATCTAAATCATTCATATAAATTACAAACAAAAGTGGACCCAGCACTGATCCCTGTGGAACACCGCTGGTCACAGGCACATGTGAGGAAAGCATCTCATGCACTGGATCATGCAAAGGAAACTACACAACTCTTTCGTTTCTTTTGGAGCCTCCCTTTCAGAGATACCTGTGCCTTTTTAAGGACTGAGCTTGACTCTGACAGATGTATCAACCATTTTGAAAACTTGGCAATCTGTCACATTCATAATGCATCTGTATTTAGGATTTTCTAATCAATCTGTGCAGAGATATTACACAACTCTGCAGCAGGTAGAACTTGAACCTAGGTTTCCTGGTCCAGAGGTAGGGACACTACCACAGTATGACAAGAACCCTGTATCTGTATTTAGCCTGGTCTCAGCTGGTTCTCTTGAAGGCTTTATTTAAATGGTTGTCACGATTTTACCCATCTACACTATTGATCTGGAATTTCCTTTTATTCCCTTGGAATGTGGGCTTCATTGGCTAAAACAGCATTATCCCTAATCACCCAGAGGGCAGTTAAGAGACAGCCACATTGTTGAGAGAGCAACCCTTCTTCAGGATGGGCCTCCCTCAAACACTGCCGTGGGTCTGGAATCACATCTAGGCCGGACCAGGTAAGGATGGCAAATGTCCTTCCTGAAGGACATTAGGAACTAGATGGGTTTCTGTGACAATTGACAGTGGTCAGAACTGGTGGATAAGTCATAACCTTGTTTTTCTGTCCATAGATGCTGTTGGACCTGCTGTGTTTCCCTAGCACGTTCTTTGTTCGTTCCCGAGAACATCAGCTTGAGGTTCTGAATTACTTTCCCAATGTCATTACTGCTCCACCTCTTCTCTTTCATTCCACTCCTCTGCTTGTCTCATCTATTTTCTGCTGGAAACACATTCTGATTTACTTTAAGGCAAAAGATAGACAAAGAAATTTATATCGGCTGAAAGGTGTGTTGAATGTTGCCATCAGGAAAGATTCCTCATCAGGCTTGATGTTACAGGAGCCTTTTCAGACATCAGGATTGGTGAAAACTTTACCCTGCCTTTGTGGTTGTGTTCTCTTCTGGAGCTGAAATAGTGTAATGATTCCTCCTTACTGCTTGGTTAAGATCATTGAGATTCAAGTAACCTCTCTTACCACAATAATATTTACTCAGTTTGTAGGCTCTGGTGATTTTTGTTTTTTCTTCCATCTCTTTTGAACTTTTCTTGTCACTCTTTGAAAGTTAGCCATTTGGATAGTCAGCGTCTTCATCTGTCTATTCATGGCTGTGATTTGGTTGCATCTTTGCACTTAAAATTTAAGTAATTCATGATATGAAGAGGTGATCCAGCAGAATTTCATCTGTGTCCTTAAATTTACATTTCCTGCCTTTAATTGTCAATCTTGTCATGAAATTGTTAACAGTCTCACCTGATTCATGTTCCAGGCCTTGAAATTCATATCAGTAGATCTGATGACTTAAGATGGAACTGTGATTTTTTTTAAACGTTGTCTGGCTTCCGGCTACCATGCTCACTTAGTTCACAGCTTTAAACAAATTTAGCCCTGTCTCTCATTCTGACCTTTGATAGAAACTATTCCTTTCCTCTTCACTGGTGCCTGGAAAGCTGTTGAAACTTTTGTAAACACCTCTCAAATGCCTGTACATCATCAGCCTCCAATAGAGCATGGACTGAAGCCGGGTGCCTGTCGCTGCAACAGTGAACATTTTTCACACAATTCACTCAGTTTTTCTCCTTCTCCATGGCCCTATTTGGGCTCATTTTTCAACCTAATTAAACAATAAATTTTTTATCACTGCCACCCTATTAAATCTCCTGATTCTCACACGTTAGAAATAATGAGACTTTAAACTGAAAGTGTTGGACCTTCAGCCATTGTATTTCTTGTTGCTTTCCACAAGGCTGAAGCACTGATACGTTGTTACCTGGCACATGACAGCAGTGCAACAGTGAATATAACACCCAGGATATATATCCATACAACAATTAGCTCCTAGCTACTTATGAATAATGCAACAAAATTGATTGTCAAATCTCCTGCTCAGTATTGCAGCATGTCTCTTTGCAGATTTTATCCTGACCCTTCTTCTCCCTTAGACAGGCATGAATTTGACTTGGAACTCTGACTTGGTAATAGATCACTTTTCCTTTAGTGTCACTGATTCAAAATCCTAGAACTTCTTCCCAAACAGCATTATGGGCTTACCCACAGCAACAGAACTGCAGCAGTTCAAGATGGCAGCTCACCACTACCTTCTCAAGGGATGGCCAATAAATGTTAGCCCAGCCTGCAATGTGCATATCCCATGACTGTATAAGAAAACAAAATGTTGTTGGCATGGCAACCCTCTGTCTCTCACTCAAGTGAATGTCCTTTATATGTAAAATAATGCTGTCACTTACAACCAGCAGTTCTATGATGGATGGTATGATGACCAAGCCTAATGCTGCCCTCACTCAAAGCTCACTGTCCACCAATATCTTTGTAGCTCAACCAACATCACTCGAACAATATCAGATGAGCTGGTCTTTATCACATTGCTATTTGTGATAAAGCTATGCTGTGTGCAAATTGACTGATGTGCTTCTTCCCTCATAGCAGTGACAATCCTTAAAACAGCGTTGGAACAACCTGAAATCACGCAAGGTGCCATATGAATGCAAGTTCTTTACCACTTTTCATTTTCCATTTCCAAAATTACATTCAAAGGAGCTCTGCATTAAGCACGCCTACTGCTTGCCTGATCCAGGTGAGCTGGCTTGTAGTCCAAAAGAAAAGGACCCAAGCTGGCCTTCTTCAAATTTGATCAGACTAAATAACTGTTCAATATTCATACTTCCTCAGTCACTCTAATTGTGCTGGGAATGTACCAAGAAGTGAGTCCATCTTCGGAATAAACAAGCTGTGAGACTGCTGAGGTCCAACAGTTGAAATATATTACAAGCATCTCTAATCAATCAGACTGTGTTTCCTATTATACTAGCAGTACCTTAAAAAAATGTTTCACTTAAAAAAAAAGTTCGACTTGGTGTCAAGGAACTGGCCTTTCTAGTAAGAAGAGTGGTTTGGGGGAGTGGGGCAGGAGTGTTCCGGTGAATGCTGAGAGTGGTGACTCTGAAGAGAAGGATACTTTCATGATCCCATTAGCATAAGAGAAGTTAAATTATTCATGACGTGATCCTATGGGGAGAAGTAAAGTTAATGCATATAGTTTTTAACTCTCTTCCTCTCTGCTGTGAGAATGAACTCCTGCTGCATTCAGTACTCAGCCGTTTACTGAAAGCTCCAGTGGCATGTTAGAAACCAGTGGTGCTGTGAACACGGAGATTCATCTCACGAGTGCCGCTCTCAACAGACCATCTGGATGAGTTCCAAAAGGTGATTAAACAAATTGATCAGCATTAGTTGCCATGTCACATGTCCAAAACTCTGGATTAAAAGAAAAATACATCTGACTTGGGGCCAAAATGCTAACGTCATCCTTTTTGCAGTATTCAGATGGCCTATAAGCGACTGTGCCATCTTTGTAACCGTATGGTCTGTAATCATGAACAGGTTGTGTAAATGGCCTCTCAGTAGCAGTGTCTGTTCCCAGAGACCTGTGCAGTTCATATTAACTAGGTCAGCATTGTGCTGTGTTAGACAGAGGGGGAAATTATCACTGGGCTGAGGAATCTAGACTGGTGAAGGTGTGGCAAAAATATGTTCTAGAAGCTAACGAGTGTGGGAGATAGCTAAATTATATGTAAAACTCAGTTTTATAGAATGATTGCTGAATGGAAACATTTGATAATATATTCAAATCTGTATTTTTAGAAGTCTTTAGCTGAGCATGTGGACTGTTGAAGGTAAAGTGAAAAAATGCTTTTTGACTGATTGGAAAAACAAATATTTTTCAGTAGAGCCAGTAGTTAAGAAGTAGGGTTTATAATACTTTGTGCTACAAGTAAAATTAAGACAACATGCAATAACATAGCAGTTGAGCAAACGGAACCAACTTCATACTTCAACTTTCCTAACACTTGAAGCTTGGGCATCCTGCCTTATAATATCTTGATGAGGCACCATCAGCCCTTTTTGGGAATGAGACGGCCAATTCATTGAAGGAAACACCTGCAGGCTGACATTAAGCCTAGCCTGCCCATTCCACAAGTCTTTGTGGAGTGTGTTATTGGGAATTATCACTGGTAGCAAAGTCCACTGTGCTTTTTAGACTTATTGTACAGAACAATGAAAGTGGCAGTAAATCAGCACTTTTTTTTTCAGAAAATAAACTGAGGTGATTGAACAACAAAAATGATCAGACTAATTACTTATATTGACAGAAAATTAACAAATAGGATGAGTTCCAATACAATGTTTTTTTTTGGTTGCTTGATAGATAAATTCGGCCTTCTGCAAAGGAAAAGCCATCTTTGTCATCTTCTACTAGGTCAGTTGTTTTATACACAACGGTGTGATAATAATGCATGTAAAAATCAAACATAAATGTGTAGCGTATTTCTAGTTATTAAAGGTATATATATCTGTGAAAAAAGTTGATTGCTATTAAGTAAAACAAATATCTGTTGCATGCTCTTCCTAATGATCCTTTTCATTTGACTTTTAGATGTACGTTTCTTCAAAAGTCTAAATAATAACATATTGATTTCAAAATGTGCTTAGTCTTGTGTAGAAATGTGTTTGCATGTGTTCATAGTGAAGCAATTGCATGCATCAACCAGAGGAGTGAATCAGGACTATAATAAAAGCAATTAATGACCTCATATTTACCAGTCTAAAACTTTATAATGTCTGGACTGCTTTTAATTCTGTGGAGATAAACGTTAATCTTGGCTACAGTTTTGAATTGTGATGCATCACAGGTGGGCAAAATGAGTGACAATGTTTTAAACGGAAAAGAACTTTAGATATGAATTGTTTTATTTTCTCATGCCTGTCTTGATTCTTTCTTAAAATTAGTCTTTTTTTCCTTCAAACCTTTATAATCTCTTATGTAATCTTTATAATCTCATTTAAAATATAAATTGTATATTTTCTTGTCACTTCCAAGTTATCTTTTTTCCTGGACTCCATTTCACTGTAACCCGAAGAATGACGTGAAAGCATGATTTTCCTGCTAAAGATTATAGTTACTAGAACTCAATTCTCACCTGGGAGGTAGCATTTTCTGGTTCCCAGCTAGCGCAAGTTGTTTGAAAACAAACCTAAAGTAAGGCAGCCTAAATGCTTATTTTACCCAGCTGCTGTTGCCTTCCCCCCACCTCACAGAGAACACGCTGCTGAGCTGATGTGGATCCATCCTCTGGCACCGCCAAACATAAACACATTTGACTTCAGTCCAGTTAATATGCCCAAACAATTTCTGGTTCAGTAATTTTTATGACTATATGTTGCAAGTATTTCAACAGACTGAATGGAACCAAATTACACACCCACCATTTCATCTGTCTGACATCCAAGTATTCAAAGGAAAGACTTTCTTCTTGAGTGTATGAAAGAATTCTGAATTTACTTTGTTATAATGACCAGCCAGAGTAATGGTAGTGTAACAGCATGATCTGTACTGGGTAAAATATTGCTTTCATCTGAAAGAAAATATTAATATATTCACTGGTAGATTACTTTAAACGAAAATAAGACTGATATGTTTGGTGGCTATTTATTCAGATCAATTTGAGTATAATTGGCATTCTGTAAAGAATACAAAACTAAATTACAGGGGTCTGATACAGTTTGGTGTTGTTGCAAATTTAGAACTTCTGCTTTGTCACTGCAGAAAGTCTAGAAAGTTTTGCCAAATGTAATTTGGATTGGTGATATATGTAGGACAGTTAAGTTTACTGTAACAAAAATGTGTGTGTGCGCCGACAGCACTGATTCACCCTCCTTTTTTGCATAATTGCCACCTTTTTAATCATTTGTAAACAAATGGTAGTGTCACAACCAAGGAATCTGTTCCTCAAGAATTGCTTATTGTTCATTAAGCAAAACATATTTAATGTGAAGAAAATGAACCCAAACTTCCATGTGTGATAAGACAAGAACAACTTTCAAGAAGTCACATGCTACAAGTTTTATTATTCAGTATAGCTGTTGGTGGTGTTAACGTGAATAAAATAGAAAGAAGTTCTGTGCTTGCTGCAGAAATGTTCCATAAATTGGCACTGTATGCATTCTTGAATTGTTAGCGGTACTCAAAATCTTGAAAGACTTGATAGAGTAAATAAAAATAAATTGTTTCCAGTGACAAAAGGTTTGGTAACCAGGGAACACACATTTACATGATTATCAAGAGAACCAAAAATGACATTTGTTTTCAGATCAAGTTGTGATCTGAATGAGTGTTGAAGGAAATTCATTAGTTATTTTGAAAAGAGAATTAGATAAATTCTTGAAGGGGAAACTTTTCATTGCTGCATGGAAGAGCAGCATTGTGGGACTGAGTGGTAGCTGTATGCAAAAAATCAGCATAACAAGTACAGGTGGCACAGTGGCTTTCTTCTGCACTGCATAATTCTATGATTCTGTAATTATTTTAGCACAGTTTATGATGTCTGGAAAAATGTGCGCTCCTTGTTTTAACAAGTGAAGCAATTGGTTTTATATTTCTTTGTATGAAAAGTGAAAAGTACTACGACTGCAGTGAAAGGAAAATAAGACTACCTACTTGGTGCCTATAAAACACTTCAGTTGAAAATTATTTTTTAAAAAATAATTTAGTAAAATAGTGGGGTAACCACTACTTGCTGCAAATTCCTATTCTCTGTTTACACCAGTTAAGCCAGAAGTTGAAATGCCTTTGATATGGACAGTCTTTTAAAGCCTAATTACAAAAATTATCTTTTATTGGCATAAACATGTTTGTTAATAACAGCCAGTAAGTAAAAATGCAAACTTTTTGATTCTGATTTACTGAAAATCATCTATTACCAATGTGAAATAACCTCCAGTATAAGCTGCACGTTAACAAACTCTGTCAATAAATCAGTACCTCATAATATTTAAGTAATTTGAATTAAACATTTTTATAACAATTTGGTAATAGTGTTTTTGAAACAATGAATTCATCTCTATAGCAAATAATATTTTTGCATGTTCAGAAAACTTGTGATGTTAATGAGATTCAGGTTTAGCAAAAGTTTAATAGCTAACAAAATAGATAATAAAAGGTTATTGTTTCTTAGTGTTACATTTCAGATTATTGAGGTTCAATTGATGTATTAATCTTATTATATATCTTAAAAAACACCCACACTATCTTATTTCAACCACAAAAACAGTGACATGCTAATCTCTGCAAATTCTAACAAAAGATGTTTGAAAGACATAATTAATGACTGTACTACATTTATGAGTACCGAATGCTTGCCTTTTGGTAATAGAAACTATGAAATATTCTACTCTACAATACACACAGAAGAACTATGACTGGAATTTTCTCTTTATTCATGATGCATTGAGGCAAAATTCCAGTTATTCAGTCTTTGTGGTTAACCATTTGATGTTGAAAAGGTACAAAAGAATCACAAATCCTGTCGAGTTTGGTTTACTTTTACAAAGGTCAGAGCTTAACTTTTTCAAAAGCTTAACGCATAGAAATTCCTAAAAGAAAATCAAACTGGGAATCAAAAATGGAAATACTTGTCTCTATGACTAAATAATTAACTGACAGCAAAATGTACAGATTAAGCTCTTAAACACTTACACCTGGTTAAGTTTAGATGATTACAATAATTAGAATAAGTTCAACTGTCCTGTTAGAAATGCAGTAAGCATTGTTGAATGTTAATTGTAAAAAACGTTTTATGATTTTACATGTTTAGATCAGAATATTTGAAGCAACGTCTGTGGGGAGTATATTCCAATGATAAAAAGTAGTTGCTTGTATCCTGGGGTACAGTCTGTAGACAATTGGGTGCCTGCTGGAGACATCTGTGAATGTTGACCTTTTGACCTGTAAAGAATGTTCTGGAGGTGGGGGAATTTAACTGCTCTTTATGGCCTAGAGGAGATTGAAAAATATATAGGAGGAAACTACTAAAATTCTCAAACAACTACATGTTAGATAAGTCAAGCACAATTCTTACAAAGAAATGCAAGATATGATGTCTCTGTACCTAGTTCTGAGGTTATTATTTCCAAGTTAGTCTTCTCTGTATAAATTGAAAGTGTTCTTTAACTGAAAGGTTAAAGTTCGGAAGATGGCTAGGGTGAAAGGTGAACCACGTGATAAGGATTACTGCAAATTTGGGCACCTGCTTTTTGGTCTGAAATGTTCTTCCCTTTCAGCCAAATGCGCAGTGCTTTCATGGTTATTGTTATAAAACTATATACAAGTTAAAACATGCACACATTTGGACTAAATAGTTCCTGTTCTTTAGGGAATTTACATTCCTACCAAACATTACTTAAGTCATTACCAACCATGTTCAAGGTTATTTTCTTGTAGCTGCTGGGAGTAATACTTTTGTGAACCCTTATGGGCAATGTCCTTTGACACAGACTGGGAACATTAAGAGAAAATAGTTGGCTGTCAATCAGTGTTGCATACTTGCCATGCTGTTTAATTTTGTCTTGAAATGGTGATATGGGATGTAGAAAGCATAAAGCCATTCTTCCTAAAAAAAAGTTAAAAGCAAGACACATAAGAAATAGGGCATCAAGTGTTCGTTCCTAGGATGGGTGTGGCAGGGGTAGGGGGGATGTTGCTGATGGATCAAGGACCTTAAAAAGGCACCTCTTTCCTGGCGTTACATGCTTGAGCACCAATTCCAGAGCAGGGCTGTTGAGCTATGAGTTGAGCGGGGGTTGGCAGGAGAGGGGAGAATGCAGCTGTAAAAGAAATAAAATGTAGTTTGTATGAAGCATTCTTCATGTTGGTTCTGACTTGCAGGAGCAGCTGCACATTGACTTTGTATCTGATAGTACAAAGGACAGTGATACAGAAAAGCAAGGAGGCAAAGCAAAGAGACAAAAGCAGTGATCAGCTAACACAGCTCCACACAGTCTGACTAATTTATGAGAAAAAAACTGCGCTGTTCACTCGATCAGCACTCTAAGGAGGCAGGTGGAATGGGAGGAAGTTTTCATTGACTCTCTCGAGCAACTGGGGAGGCCGCTGGAGATACTTCGCAGTTTGAACTTTATCAGGGTCTACGCTTAATCAATACTGTATTGGAAAAAGAATTAATTACTAAAGCAGAATAAAACAGCTGCATTTTAAACCAAGGAGCCATCAATTCTGTAATCTTTCAGTTACAGCTTAGGTACTGCGAGGATCATTTTGGCTTCGAGTAATGAGGAACTGAGGGAGTCTCCTCATGAATACATTGGGAATTTGCATTAGTCTGTTTCAATCTGTTTGTCATCACCGTGAGTAGTTTTAACCTTTTTGCATTCACCAGTTTTATCTGATAAATTATCAAATCT